ATAACAAACTCTCTTTTCCTGTTCAGATGGGAAAGAAAAAGAAGTGCTTTTCACATACAACACGAAGACCTCTGCGCTGATGCTGGAAAATTTAGCCTTGAGCATTGATGCTGACTGGAAGATTTGCATCAACTGAAAGGAAACAGCTTCTTCAGAGAACTCATTGAGAGGCCAAGGGAAAATAAGTTGAGAAAACATAAAATGTTCACTTGAACCCAGTCAAATCAAGGAACATGTTTGCCGCCCACACACCCAAAGTAACACTCCTACCATTTTTCTTATAAAGCACTAATTTAAACTTGGATAGCTCTTCTGTTCAGCAAAAGTAATAGCACTAGGATTGTGTCTTTGGGGAGAAGAGCTAAATACTGCCTGTTCTAGGCTGGCTTCAGTTAGGCATTGAGGTCTGCCTCCACTTGTATCAAAAAAGAAATCATAAATGGATGGGGTGAGATTGTGGCTGGCTGGCATGAGGTTTAAAGTAAGTATTTGGAAAACCAGTTCAGAGACTGGAGTACTTGAGAAGAGCAGATCTGGGCCAGTTTGACAAGCAGCATCAGTAGATATGCCAGATGCTGAGGTTATCAGAGCCTGCAAGCTGCCTTGTGAACACAAACACAGAAGAAGCTGCCCAGTGTGATGATAGACACTTCCCCTTCCCAGTCCTCCCGAAAATGCAAAATTAAGAAATCTGTACAAGAAAGCAAACAACAGGCTAGCCAAACAGTGCAGTCTCTGAAGGCAAGGTTTGAGTAGGTGGTGCCAGTCAGTTGTTTGATGGCAGAAGACAATGTGGGTGTGCAGAAGTCTCTCCTGTAGCTGGCTTTGAAACTGGTATTTGGATTCTGTAAAGGCACAGGTCTACGTAAGTGCAATACTGCCTTCGGGCAGCAGCTAGACTCAAAGGGAAACAGTTGCTTGGCCAGTTTTTAGTATGTGGCTGAGATTTGAGCTTGGTATTTATGAAGCAAATTTTTAAATTTAAATGGGATTAATTCTGCATTTAGCCATCCCATTTCATGCTTATTCCCCCATTCTCTTACAACTCCCACTAGTGTCCCCTTGCCTCCTTTTTCCCCTGTGATCTCTGCAAACAGAACTGGTATGTCCTCATGCTTTCTTCCCTTTCAAAACTAGGAGGCATCCTGAGTCCCATATCCCCTAAATCCTGCATATTCCCACAGCCTTTTCCATATCAGGAATCTCTTTTTGCACCATGGCTTCAGTTGTTTGATCTTTCCATTTGCTGCACTTGTTAACCGTATTATTTTAAAACCAGTTCTGCTTTGAGTCAGACCTTGACATGTCATCAGTTTTTTGTGGCTATAAAAGGGCAAAACTGACTTAATTTCTTTTAGAAAGATAAGGTTGTATGTTTAATAAAACCCAGTAAACTAGAAACAGAGAAGGATGGTCACCCTTTTTGCCAACTCAAGGTAACGTGACCGTGCATTTGTATGTTGTTCCCTCCTCTTCTGAATACGTCCTTCCAACCCTTGGTCAGTCATTCCCACCTGCTGCTGTTTGTCCTCTGCAGGGCAGATGTCTGGGAACAGCCAGTGCGAGAGCAAACGGTGATCCCTCCCCTCTCACTCCCAGTCCCAGTTTGTTCCCCACCAGACCCTTCAGTCCCTTCCTTTGTGTCCTGCAGAGCTGTTTGTCAGCCCCTCCCCGCAGCCGGCGGAGCCTCCGCTCCAGGGACTGGCAGCCTAAATGCTGCTGTGCTTCATGCAGACGAGTTAGTCCGGGTAGAAGAGTAGCAAACAGATCTTGTACATCTGTGAGAAGAGAGACAGACCCTATTTTTGAGACAGAGCCTATTTTTCTATCAGCTTCTTAACTTTAATGGACTATTATTTCTTAAGCATAGCAGTGCTGCTGATAGGATGTAATTATTGTCAAGCATTTTAATGAAATGTTTTAACTGGTATTTCTGAAGTTGGAAAGTCAGTGAAATAAAATGAAGCAAGTTACATGCCTTATTCCTTCCAACCTTCTTTCCACTGTTGAAAATCACTACTAAGTATTCTTCCACGGATACCTGGTTAAAGTGAAAGACCAGTTTTATACACTCATTATATCTGCACTATAGTCAGTACTCATGGGCCAGATTTGTAGTGGTCTGAAGTGCCTGACTTCTATGGACTTTGATAGAAATTGGTTGCTGAAAATCTTAGCCGTGGTGTCTTTAGATCTGAGGAAATACATTTCAAAGAGTACCATTTACATTGCTGTTTGTAGCAACTCACATACTTTTCCACCTATTTATGCCACAAGTGAAGAAATAAATTTACAGGTTATCATTCATAGAGTTCATTTCTGCTTTGTCTGAACAGGTCAGCTATTGGGGTACTTCTGCTTGCAAGAAATTCCATTGCAAAAGGTGGTTTAATTCCTAATGGACAAAGAGTTTATTTTGCTGTTCGTAGCAGACAGTGCATCCACTCTATGGTAAATTGTGTTGCTTTAAAGACCATTTGTCTTTTACTAGCAACCACTGTTCCTCAAAAGAAAAATAAAAGACCTACGTAACAAAACCATCTGGCCAGTAAAATATAGAAAAGAAGAAGCTCTTTTTTGAACAGGTATAACCACAAAATACTCCTGAACATCTGTAAGGAGGAACTTTGGGTCAGAGGTGGGAAGTGCATGTCCACCTGCTGCTCCCTGTGCAGGCACCAGCTGAACTGCTGTAGCACTAGCAGCAGGTCATACCCTGGCACTTGCTGACCATCCCAAGGAAAAAAATAAACCACTGCTAATCCTTCACTTGATCCTCCCCAGCAGCCCACAAGGAGTTTGTCAGATATTGCACCTGGGCTATCGACATTCTTCCCAAAACAGGGCTCTGTGTACGAGAGGTAGGAGATGGAGTTTTGTATGAGGCAAGGAGGGAGAATGTGGAAGAAATAACACACACAAAGGCTCCAGAATGAGGCATTTTGCTGAAGCTGTGCACTGAGGGGTCCTTGCACGTCACTACTCACATTGCTCTTGAAATATCCTGGAACGAGTGACACGTGGTGCTGCCAAGCTGTCCTGCAAAGTAATGTCAGGTATGAGACTTGTGATCCTTCCATCTAAATGTAACGAGGAAGTCATCAATTTTGCATATGGACAGCCTACCCTGAAGCAATTGCATTCCAGCATCCCTGAACACCTGAGTCTGTCCTTTCTGATTGCCCTGTTGGTGCAAGAAGACTTTTATGTTAGTGATAAAAGGAGAAGGTTTCAGACCATCATTAGAAGACAGGATTAACACTCCTAGAGGTTAGTCAAGCTTACCAACTGTATTACCTTGTTTAAAAGCTCCTCTAACTGAGTTTTTTTTAATGAGCTGTGGAGATTGCCCATTGTACTGTTCATTTCAAATGTGTAAATGGCTAAGAAAAAAAAATCAGTGCTTTGGAAAACACCATAGCCCGAGGGCAGAAGGTCAGCAATGTGTACGTGAGCCAGAGTCTGGAGGCCAGTGTCATGAGGCAAAAATAACACTGATGTCATCATGTGATTTAAGACTTCCCAATCAAATTAAAATCAAGGTGTTAGGGGGCTTTTCTCAACACATTAACAATGTCACCTTTTAAAGAACTAGCTTATAGAGAAGAGCAACATCTGTTTAGATTTTCTTTCACACAGACTTCAAATTTCCCCTTATCCCACTGTTGTGTGACAAAATAAACCCTCAAAGTCAGATGTCTCCTCTAAGACTGGTGTATCTTTTTACACGTAGAACAGCCCAGTTTCCACACTGGGCCCCTTATAAATTTTTCTGCCTCTATATGAAAAGGTGCTGTTTACATGGGAGGTAGCTATGCCCAGGTGACTCTTAGCCCTGGCAAGCTGCTCTCCAGAGAGCCAAGCCCAGCTGGCAGGTATTGACCTGACCTCAGCAGCATCAAACAATTACCTGTTTCATAGAATCATGGGTTGGAAGAGACCTCAAAGAACACCCAGTTCCAACCCCCCTGTCATGAGCAGAGACACCTACCACTGGATCAGGTTGCTCATAAGCCCCACCCAGCCTGGCCTTGAACGCTTGTGGGGATGGGACATCCCATCCTCTCTGGGCAACCTGTTCCAGTGTCTCACCAACCTAACTGAAGTATTTCTTCCTAATATTCAATCTAAATCTACCCTCTTTCAGTTTGAAACCATTACCCTTACCCTGTCACTGCAGTCCCTGATCAAGAGGCCCTCCTCATCTTTCCTGTAGGCCCCCTTCAGGTCCTGGAAGGCCACTATAAGGTCTCCCCGGAGCCTTCTCTTCTCCAGGCTGAACAGCCCCAACTCTCCCAGCCTGTCCTCACAGGGGAAATACTCAAGCTCCCAGCCTGTCCTCACAGGGGAAATCCTCCAGCCCCTTGATCATCTTCATGGCCCTCCTTTGGACCTGCTTGAGCAGGTCCATGTCTGCCTCATGCTGGAGGCCCTAGAGTTGAACACAATACTTCAGGTGGAGGTCTCGCAAGAGTGGAGTACAGGCACAGAGTCACCTCCCTTGACCTGCTTGACCTGTTTTACCATTAGAAGCACACTTCAGATAATCCTCTCTACTAGTAAAAAATTCTTCGTATCTTTTCTGTGGTAAAGGGTAGAAACAGCACGTGAAGAGCAATGTTGTTCCTTCAGGCATGTCCGGACTAGCTTACGGGCTGGCAGCACTTTGTGAGTACGTTCCCAAACCAGCTGGAGTTTCACTGCCAGTTTCACTGTTCTCTCTACTTCAGGAAAGGATGAGGGTCTTGCACCAGGAGTCAGTCTGCACACAGAGCCCGTCCCAGGAGCTCGCCTGGCCTTGGCACGAGCTGAGCAGAAGACTGACACCATCTTTCTAATCCCTCCTCCTCACTTTCCCCTCTCTCTTACTCTTTGCTGTAGCTATTTTTAGACTTCTCGGGTTAAAGCTTGTCCCTTCTGGACGCTTACCCACACAGGGCAGGCACACACACATGCTGTAGACACTACAACTCAGGCACAGAAGGTGGACAACAGACCGTCTTGTTCCACATCAAGGAATAAATTCCAATTTCTTATGACAGGATACTTCCCTTTAAGAGGATGCACAACATGCTCAACCACGTGGAATTCTGTTGCTCGCGAATTTGACCGGGAGACTTTCAACGGATAGAAAAAGCAGTTTACACAGCAGCTTCCTCTTTTCTTCAATTTCCTCCCAGTTTGCAAGATCTTGCCTGGTTTCCACACCCGCTCTGAGCCCGATTCCCATGCCGTCCGCCATAAATGCAGCGGTGGCTCAGCAGACAGCTGCTGGGTCTGTCCCCAGCCCTGCTGTCAGCACTACAACCGAGGGCTCGGGCGGGGGCACAGGGGGGATTTATTCGGCCATTATAAGTCGCAACCAGCCCATTATCAGAGTAAAGGAGAAGACCTATGAAGAGCTTCACAAGAAGTGCCTGGAGAAGAACATCCTCTATGAAGATCCGGATTTCCCACCGAATGAGTCTTCTCTCTTCTACAGCCAGAAAATCCCCATCAAGTTCGAATGGAAAAGACCACGTGTAAGTAACACATTTGCTGAGTGCCTTTTACTTCCTGTAAACTGAATTATTCACCCAGGGCTTATGTTTTTGCAGAAAGCATGCATCAGGGGATGAGGGTGGGGTAAGCTGGAAACTTATTTCATTAGAGCTCTCCTGGAAGATAACTAGCTAGGGCTGGAGAAGCTCCAAGAGTGTATATATAATGACTAAAATACAATAATCAAAAATGAAACAAAAGAAGAGAGAGAATGAATTATGTAGGAAAAAAAAAAAGAGATACAGCATTTAATTTTCTTTTTGCATGATTTGTTAGGGATTTTCTTGTTCGAAACTACCAAAGAAAAATTCTCCTCATTCTACAAACAAGTTATTTGGTTTTCTGAGGCTTGATTTTTAGACACTACCTTATTTCACTTACAATTTTAATTTAATATTCTGCTGTTTTCCTAAGCTGTGAAAATAAAAGGATAGGGTCCAGCCAGCCACCTTCTTCTTTCCTACCCTCAGTCACTCTCTCAGGCAGAGGACAAATTCCTCAATTCCCAGCTGATTCCCCATACTGCTGCAGGGGGAGTTATCCTCTTT